CATAGTGATGGAGGAGCACATATCCTTGATTCAGGAACCTGGAAGAGGTTAGTTGGGACACTGCAGTCTTCTAAGCGGAACAGCTGAATCACTAAAATTTGCAATTATACAGTAATCTAAAGAGCAAAATATTATTTTGGATAGTTTGCAAGTGATGGGCTGTGATGAAACAAATGTAAACACAAGAAAAAAGAGTGGTGTTATCAGAATAATTGAGTTACAACTTCAACGACCTCTACAATGGGTAATTTGTTTTTCTACATGCAAACGAGCTTCTACTACGCCATTTGGTTGCAGAGTTAGATGATCCAACAACTGGTCCTAGATGCTATTCAGGCTTAATTGGAAAGTCCCTTGAAACTTGTGAGGTCTTAAAGGTTGTTGATTTTCAACCTATAAACCATAATGTGGAAATGCCAGAGGTGGACAGAAAGGTGCTCAGTACAGATTAACTTTATCTTTTCGACATCTGCCATGCAGTATTAAGTGGTAAAGTGCTATTTGTTCTACCAACCTAGAGAAACGCAGCCCTGGGAAACTGGCTCATTCTAGGTGGCTCACCACTGCCAATAGGATCCTCAGAATATATGTTTCTACCAGCAGTCCCTCGTCAAATTTTGTAACTTTATCAACGTTCATAATGCGAGTTTATGCCCCTATGTGGTTCATCATCAAGAAAGAGTCTTCTATATTTCATGGCATCAGGCATCTGTACAGCACAATTGCAAAATCACGATATCTGCCGGCTCCATTACGTAAAGTAGTAGATAAAGTAATTCAAACAAATGCATTGTTTGGTCATCAAGAGAACATCTTTCTCGCAATAGTATCAGATGATGAGTCAAATATCCGAGAATTAAGTGTTAGGCGTATACAAAGAGCTAGAAAAGAAAGAATTATGAAAGCTAACAAATCAAGTGTGCGTCAGTTTAAAGTTCATACTCTAAATTTTATGGCAAATAATACGTGGAAGTTGATTGATTGAAGTAATTTGCAGCTGTTTAAGCCACCATTAACAATGCAGCTCACTGACTAGCAGCTGGAGGAGGTAAAAGAGAATCACATTCTACTATCTGATAGTTCGGATAAGTTACCATACCACACGCAAGCAGTGGAACGTTGTGTAAAGACGGTAAGAGAAGTTTCCGCATCAGCTTGTTGCAAGATAAATAGAGATGGTATGATAAGTGTCCGTCTACAATCTAGGAAGAATATGCCAATATTTAATACCAAGGCACATTATAACACTAATTAGTGCGATTTTTAATCTATAAATGTAACTATTTTGTATTATATGCGTCTTTTCAATTCTAAAACTTTCTTAAAATAAGCTGTTTATAAAACAATATCAATCGATTTGAAAAAAATGATACCAGTAATCATTATTTAAACTAATAAATATTAAATTAGTTACGGATCCAGCATTTTTTGTTGTTAGAGATAGCTGACTTACAGACATGAAGCAAACTTTAAACATTTATATGTTTATACTTACGTCAAATTTTTTTTTTTAAATTTTGCTTACATTAAAATGTCAAAGTACAATTATATATGCCATATATATCGTGTTACAATTAAACTCGTGTTACAACATTTATCAACTAAATTAAAAAAAGAAAAAACACGGACATACATATATAAATATAAGCATATATACACATACAAATGCGTAGATGCGCACTTACATAAACTGCTTACAATGAAACATAAGCTAGGATCTGAAAGAAGATCACAAGATCTTGTCATCAGAACCTTATAAATCACAAACAAGCAAAATAAATACCAGTATAAGATACTGAAAAATAAAGTAAAAATTAAAATAAAGAAAGTACTGAATTCAAGTTGTATAACAATTTTCAAAATATTAGAAGTATCTGAGTATATTATCAAGTGAAATAATACATTTTTTTAGATTGAGCTTGAAAAGGTAAAAGGAAGTTGGTAAATCAAAATTCTGCAAAACTATATTATTCCATAGGTGGGGTCCACGATAAGCAATGCAAAATTAATTAAATTTTGTGTGACAAAATGGTTCTTTTAAAAAGTTTATGTTTCTCATGTCGTATTTGTTGTTAGGTTTGAGTTTGAAAGTATTATTAAAAACGGTAGGGGATTGACTATTTCTCCATAGATATACAAAACATAAAACTTTAAATACATTGAGTTCAAATAAATTTAACAATCTCATTTCAGTAAAAAGAGGTTTTGTGTGTGTAAAATGATCGGCATAGTTAATTATGCAGATCGCATGCTTTTGATGACGATAAAGAAGTTTTAACTTACTTTTTAGAGTACTCCCCCAAGCAGTGTTGGCACAATTTACGTATCTGTGGATAAAAGAGTAATAAAGTTGTTTTAAGCAATTTTTATTTAGGTAGTTACGAGCTTTATAAAGAATCCCAATGTTTTTTGATTGTTTTTAGTAGATATATAATTAATATGTTGATTCCAGGAGATGTTTTCATCGAGATAAACACCTAAGAATTTTGTAACGGAATCAATTTTTATTTCAATTTCGTCAATAAAAAGTTGCGGCAAATTTATTGGTAAAAATCGCTTTTTTGCATGCGAATGGAATAGAGTCTATTTGGTTTTATTAGTACTTAAAGTTAGCTTATTACATTTAAACCAGTTTGATATATGTTTTAATTCTTTATTCGTAGTAGTAAAGAGTTCGGATATATTACTGTTTCAGAGGAATAGATTGGTATCATCTGCGTACATAATGCTAATAAGGTCAGAAGCTTTATTCAGATCATTTATATATATCAAGAAAAGTAGGGGCCCGAGGATTGAACCCTGAGGAACACCGCAGACAATATCAAGGCAATTATTTTGATAGCCGTCGTTACTCATTACAAATTGTTTTCTTTTTGTTAAATAGCTTCTAAACCATTTTAAGGCAATACCATTAATTCCATAATATTCAAGTTTTTGAAGCAGAATGTGATAAGAATGTGATAAATGTTAAAATAATGTGATAAGATAAATAAATAAATGTGAAAAGTATGTGAAAAATGTAAAAAAAAATAAAAAAAATAAATGTGAAAAGAATGTGATAAATAAGAATGTTTTGCAAAAAATTGCAATAATGAAGGGCCCGGAAACAAAAATACCCCAAACAAATTATCCCACTACCCCAAATATGAGGGCAACTAGTTTGCAACATACTTTTTTTTACTTTTCTCAACTACAATAGGATTTAATAATAAAATTCAAATTTCATGAATTAATCTTTTATCGTTCAAAAATTATGGCAACATAAATATTGCGACCCCCTCAAAGTGAGAGAGATCTAAACCTTATATGGCCATAACTTTTGAATGCTAAGAGATTATTTCATGAAATTTGAAATCTATCAATGATTTCTAATTTAATTGAAAAAATTAAATAAAATATGTTACAAACTAGTTTCTCTCAATTTTGGGGTAGGGAATAATTTGTTTAGAGCATATTTGTCCCGGGCCCCAATCATTGCAATTAGGTATAACAATATTAAATATATAACAATATTATATAACAATATTAAATATAATATCTATAATTCTTGTTATCATTTAGTCAGTAATAATAAGTATCCCCATTTATATATTTGAGTTTTATTTTAAATTTCAGTAAACGAAATGTTAAGATTTAAAACAGATCATCCAATCTTTGGCTATTCAAAGCCGCTCTCAGATGTGCAACTGCCAACAGGACTAGATGTCATGCAGCATATGGTGTATTTAAAAGAAAATCTAAGCAAGCCATATTACATATTGTTTGTCAAATAATGCTACAGTTATATGTTAACATGTATATATATATATATATATATATATATATATATATATATATATATATATATATATATATATATATATATATATATATATATATATATATATATATATATATATATTAACTATATATTAATAATTTGTTTTATATTAATAATTTGTTTAGAGCATATTTGTCCTGGGCCCCAATCATTGCAATTTTTTGCAAGGTATCGTTATTTGACGTAAGTATAAACATATGAGTGTTTAAAGTTTGCTCCATATCTAGAAATTAGTTATCTCTAATACCAAAAAATGCTGGATCTGCGCCTGTAATAAATGTGGAAAATTTTGAAACTTTTGGTTTAAAATAGTCCAAAAATTGGTGCTGGGGGTAATTCTTGTCCAATTTCGCTCATCGTGGCTTCATTTTTTAAGTTTTTCTAAAGTTATAGAAATCAGTAAAAAAAATAAATTTCTAAAAAAAGTTGTTTTCACTTCACCAGTGTATGTCGTTAAGCTTGAAGAGAAAGGTTTAAAGGCTGGAACTATAGAAATTAAAACGCTTTAGTAGATTTTAAATAAATGATAAAACATCATTATAAATGCCTGGATTTAACTAGGCTGGACTATTCCAAATAAAGAACATACTAACAATTTCGAGAAAACTTTTAATAGATTCGACCGAAAAAGTCATTATAAACAAAAAAAACGAGATTATAATTAGCATATAAAACTATATGAGGTGTGAAAGTGTTTTGAATCGGAAAGTGCTACAAATGCTAGTTAACTTTTTAAAACATTTTTATAACATATCTCTCAGAAATATCTAAAACAATGTTGAATTATTTAACATTTAATTTTTGCTGGTAAATTGACCATGTTTAGTTTGTTCATACATGCTCATAGTGCCGGCATTGCTGCAAACATTACTCTTAATGAGATTTTAATGATGCATTGAGTAAAGATGGAAATTATACAGTTTCTGTCGATAAAAAAAAACAAAAGATACACACGGCCCTACACTTGTAGTTTTAAACCCCGAATCGTGTAAATGGTACACAACGTTTAAAAAACGTCAGATCACAGATTTCAACAAAAAGTTGACAATATATTTATGTCTAATTCATGTGATAAAAGTGGGATATTTAATTTTGAAAAGTGTATTATTTGTTCTTGGCTCATAAAAAAGTCTGCATATATTAGCCGATTTTTAGTAGCTTTTTTTAAGTTGCTTAACTTATGTCAAACTCTGATAAAACAGCTAAAAAAAATTATTTTAATCAGAATAATCGAGCTAATCCAGCAAAAGCCAAGTCTTATTTTGAAAGTAAAAAGTCCACAGTTATCAGTGAAAATGGAGAGTTGCATAGGGAAAAGTAAATGAAGTACTTAAAATGTTTATTCAGCATCTCTGACAATATCTGAAGTTATAACTTAATTACAGCTGATTGGAGTTAATACCGTTTCTCGTAAGATGAGTTTGAAAATATTTGAATATGAGGGGTAGGCAGGGGCGGAGTGTAAGAAGTGGGGGACAGTCTTTTTGTGTGTATAATAATGGTGTGACGCAATTAGATGACAAATCCCAATATATTGAGGCAGTTTTATGCCGTGTGGACAACTAATTTCTGTTAGTAGTTAAGTTACTATATGTGTAATACTAAATTTGATTACTTTTGATGAAAAAGAAACTTAACGATGTCAGAATAAACAAAATTGGATCTGCAGAGATAAATACAAAAATGGTTTTTTTGATTACAAAAAAGATATTTGAAAATGATAAAAAAATGTTATTATTACTATAAAATGTATTTTAATAGATGGACGAGTGTAGCTAATACATTAGTCAGCCTAGAGAAATTTGTTTAAATCGAATTTGCGGCACTTTGATTTTTTTCGGTTCATTCATTTAGCAGTTCATAAGGTTTTAAATACGATATAATAGCAAATATATAATATATATATCTTCTATATAATATTGCCGAACTTAATAGTTTTAATAGTAGTGTCCCTTGGAGCGTATTTGACACGAAACCCTTGGCAGCCATTGCAACCGAGGTATTGGCAAGAAAGAGTCGCAGTGCTATAAGAAAACATGAACGAACATCTAACGTACGTAAACTTTAACTTATGTAATGTTAAAGCATATGTTAAAACATACTGAAACATTTATCACGTTTTACAGTTTGATTTTTACTTGAAAATTACAATGCGTCAACCTCTCCTTATTTTTGATCTAACATTTTTTTCCTCAAAAAATTTACTACATTTTTATAAAATCTACAATTGATGATATGCCGGCGTAGCTTGAGTGGATAGGGCGGCGAACTTCTGAACAAGGAACTAGAGGTTCGACTCCTACCAAAGGCGGCTATTTTTTTTAATTTTTTTACTTATTTTAAAATACAAAATACTTTCGAAGTTTTATAAAGATTATATACAAACATATGTAACGTAACGATATTATGCACTCACAAAAGAAAAGATTTTAAGAATGCTAAAACTTCATAAAACATTAAAAAAAAAAAAGCATCACCAGGAGAAAAAATATTTTGCGTATCTATGATAATTGAGACACTTATGTTATTAATGTGCGAATGTAATTAGTCCTAATAAGCTGCGGATGGTCTGAAAAAAAAGTTGTCTGAAACTTAATAAAGAAAAACCTTAACAAGACAGCCCTGCTACTTCATAAGATGCTGCTGTAGAGGCAAAAAAAAAAAAAAGCCTGTAGCTAGATAAAACTTTAAAACTTTCTTTTGACAATTAAAAGTTTATTTTGCTACCATTAACTTTTTTACTATAAATATATGCAGCAACTGTTTTTCAAAACGCCTTAATATGCTTATGACGTAATTCAAAAAAAACCCAATTAAAAATAAAATTGTTTGGAAAAACTCTTCGTAAAACGTTTTTTGAAACGAATAACTTTTATTTAGTTTTTTTTTTCTTTTGTGCAACTTTCTTTTCAATAAATTTTTTTTACCTTTCAGAATATGACCATTTTTAACAATGCTATAGAAAAAATATCAGTAAATTGATTAGTAGTATTTCAATTATATTAATTAAATTAAATTATATATATTAAATTATATATTATATAAAGATTAAATTAAATAGATGAATAAACTGATATACATTTAATACATGTGTATTTTTTTTGTTGAAAAAACTTAGTGACAAAATAGACTAATTAGATAAGTCGTTAAGTAGAATGCTAAGAATATATTTCTGGCGGTTATTGTTACTAAGGGTGATTAATAGGCAAATAAATTAAAAGCTAATCAGGGTTTTAAATAAATTATAAACTAATCAGGGAAGTTTTATTTGTAAACCGAATAAATAGGAAGATAACATATAATTCAGGTAGACATTGTTCTCACTTTTTCGCCAAACTTTGATATCTTTGATATTAAAAAATATGACCCTTCCAATAATTATAGATGGTAGTGTATTAACCTTTTTTTTCGGAACCACAATCCGTAATGATTTCTATTTTATTAATGTGAACGAAAGCCTATTCAAATATCTAAATATGTAAACTTTAAGTTCTTTAACAATCAGTATAATTATAAAGTAGATGACATCAAATTCTACCGATTTATTTTTACTTAATAATTTCATTGCGACAATATCTCTTTATTTTAAAGCATTAAATATTGTTTTTTAAAGTTTAATAAGTTTTCTGTTTATTAAATAGTGTAAAAAGATGATATAACATTCCACAGCGATTGAAGTGCTTCGCTTCGGTTCAAAACCTTTTGCTTACACAATTTTTTTTTTAAATCCTATCCAGTTTTCTAGAAAACAAAGAAAAACAAGTTTAAAGGCATATAGATGTTATACGCATTACATGAAAATAAAGATATAATATACTATAACAAACTAAACGGATAGAATTTTTTAAAACGTTTTTAAAAATTTTTAAAAACATAAAAACGCTGTTGGAAATTTGTTGCGCATATATCATGATAGAGATACTTATGTTTTAGGTAATTACTTAAAACTGCGAGTTCAACACTCATTAAAGAGATAAATTTCTTTCTTATATATATAAAAAAAAGGTTTTACATGCAATCTGAAATTTTTATTAAAACTAACTGGTCAAGAGTCCTAAAAAGTACGGAAAGATATGAAAAAAGAAATTGTAATCTGAAACCTAAAAAAAAAAATTTAGTTACTCCAGAAGGTGACAAACAGAAAACCCACAAAATTTCGCCAAATTCGCTAATAGAAATGCTCGAATATTAAGATATAAACAAATATTAAATGATTTTTGTATTACGAAACGTACGCCAACTCTTAAACCACTGTAAAACTACTTTTCGGTTATCTATTTAAATCCACCAAATCCGTTAATTAAAACAGCTTAATTAATAGATTCAAAACCATCTGATTTTTGTATTATGATATGTGCGCCAACTGTACTCTAAAACCAATAAAACTCGGCCATGTGGTCTTCATATCGATTATAACAATTGCAAAGCGAGGGACGACAAGTAAGTTGTAACTACAAGTTTAATTATTGTAATCTTCATTTAAAAAATTAAACTTATTTTATAATTACCATGTTAATATGTTTGAAGTTAATATGTTTTTGACCCAAGAATAAACATTAAGATTATTTTTTAGAAATGAGCAGCCAAGATACAGAAGGTATTCTTTTAGTTTTGTATAACATTAATTAATTAAAGAGATAAAAAGAGATGATACGTCAATAATACTGAGATATTTAGCTTATTATTTTATTAAGAAATTACATTGAGATAATTTTGTATATCTTTAGGTGACGAAGAAGTTTCTGCATTTTTTCGAAGTAAGCCATTTATATATACTATATATAGTAGCAGTTACATATGTTCTAAAAGTGGCGGAGCTGTACTTGATTTACGGTGTGAATAAAACGATGATTTAATTTAGCTGTTTTTAATTAAAATCAACCAAGATATGCCGCCCTCCCCTAACCCCGTGAATCAAGTACACCCCCCTAAAATTTAACTAAAATTAAAAAATACATAAATTAATTTTTAGAACTTTAAAAGGGTGGACCCAAAATTTGTTTATTCCGCCATTTTGATTGATGTTTTTGTAAAACAGTGAACCTTAAAAACGCGTACAAGGTTTTTTAAGCTATAATTTTATAAAACGTGTTTAAGCTAAAATTGACTTTTAAGTCTTCTAACTACTAAACTTTTACGTAAAATGAAACTTTTTGTCATTTACTGAATGTGTTAAATTATAAAACTGTGCAACAGTTTTATAATTTAAGACAAATCTTATATGTTTAATTGAAAAAGTATATATTTTGAAAATTAATTTTGTCTATATATATATTAGATGTTCAAGAGATCAGAGCCGAAGAGGTCTTGCCAAGTAAGCTAATTTTGTATGAGAAGGATACGTTACAAAGATATATATTTCACCAATTTCAGCAGTTTGTTAATTATAACTTTTTTTTAATGTTTAGCGGAAATAATGGACAAGCTAAGTGAGGAATTTTGTTGTTGTTTTTTTTTTTTTTTTTTTTTGTGTGCAAATACATTTATGCTTTTTTAGTTTTTTTAAAGTTATTTAGCAAATGACTATTGTCAGTTGTGACAGTTAGTCAGTCAGCAAGTGACTTTTGTAACTTTTAAATTTATTTTATTTAGAAAAATTAGAAGATTCTGTTGAGAATCTAAGTAAGCAATTTGTTATTGTTGTTGTCATGCTCTTTATTTTTTTTATTACATATTTATTTAACATAAAGTTATTCTATATTTGGCAAGTTAGTTTATTTTAATGTTTATAAGTTTTTTATTTTATTTAGAAAAATTAGAACATTCAATAAGTAAACAGAATTTGATTATATTACATTTGTGTATTATAGATAAAGATATAGCATTTTACTTTCAAAAAAAAAGGTGTATTCTATGGTCTTTTAGCTTTTTTGATACAAATTTTAGCATTTTTTTTTATAGGGCTTATATTTCAACAACTTAGTAAGTTACTATATTGTTCTTTTGGATTGTTTCTTTAGTTTATTTTTATTTTTTTTTTGTCGCTTTTTTCTTTTTTGGTTTGTTTTGTTTTGTGATTGTTATTTTTGCCTTTTGTTTTGTTCCAACTTTATTTATAGATTTCCTAAAGTTGACAAATATTCTGCATGTTTAACATGCAGAATATTTGTCAACTTTATTATTTATATTTGTCAAAAACTCATTAACATTAGGAAAGAAACTAACATTGTTTGTTTCTTTCCTAATGTTAATGAGTTTTTTTTTATTCTATTTAGAAAATTTAGAAAATTCAATTGGTAAGCAAAGTACACTTATGTTTCTTTTTGTTTATTTTTAACACACATTTTTTGATGTTTGTGTGCGGTTTTATCACTCTAAAATAAACTGTTTAATTGATTAGTATATGTTAGTTTATGTAAATATATTTTTTACTTCCACTATAGCGTCATCTGCAGTACCATCAGGTAATGTGTTTTGCATTCTTATGCAGTTTTAAGAGTGTTATGTGTGTTAAAACTTAAAGATAGCATATGTTAATTTACAGATTACTTTATTTATTTATTTTTTTGTCTCTACATTAGCACCTCAAGCAATAATATCAGGTAATCTGTTTAGCATACTTATGCAGTTTTATGGGTTTTATGTGTATTTAAACTTAATCATTACTGTTTTCATGCAATTACATAAATGTTTAACATATGTTACTTTATACACTTTTTTTTTTACCTTAACAATAGCATCAATATCATCTGCAGTACCATCAGGTAATGTGTTTTGCATACTTATGCAGTTTTATGAGTGTTATGTGTATTGAAATTAAACATTACTTTTTTTATGTTTGTTATCAATTACATAAATGTTTAACATATGTTAGTTTATACACTTTTTTTTTTTTTTACTTTTACAGTAGCTTCAATATCATCTGCAGTACCATCAGGTAATGATGTAATTTAATGAAAAACTTAAAGATTGCATATCTTATTTTGCACATCACTTTATTTCTTTATTTTTTTGTCTATACATTAACACCTCAAGCAATAATATCAGGTAATCTGTTTAGCATACTTATGCAGTTTTATGAGTTTTATGTGTATTGAAACTTTAATTTTTTTTAATGTGCTTTGCATGCTTATGCAGTTTTATGAGTGTTATGTGTATTGGAACTTAAACATTACTTTTTTCGTGTTTGTATGCAATTACATAACTGTTTAATATATGTGTTTGTTTATATACTTTTTTATTTATTTCTGCAATAGCAACAGTATCAACTGCAGTACCACCAGGTAATGTGTTTTCCATACTTATGCAGTTTTTCCGTATTTATGCAGTGTTATGTGTATTGAAACTTAAACATTACTTTTTTCGTGTTTGTATGCAATTACATAACTGTTTAATATATGTGGTGCTGGAAAGCGGTTTAACTCTTTTAATTTCTACCAGTAGCTTTTTTAAACTACTGGTAGAATTATCTTCTTTTTTATTTATAAAGAAAATTGAATTTTTAAAAAAATGTTTTTTTTAATTTCGCAATTTTTTATTATTTTAATTTATATACTTTGACTATTTTATTTTTTTGATTTTTAATTCTGTTTTTAAATCCTAAACTAACAAAGAACTCTTATGTTATAAAAGTTTTTAATAATTTGTCTATAAGTTTTTTTATTAATTTACGTTTTTACATCTTTTTATCCTCATTTTTAATTTTAATAATACTAAATTTTCTTTTGTATTAACTTTTATTTGTTAAGTGTTATATAGTTTTTGAAAGATTGGGTAAATATATTTAAAGTTTTTCTTTTTCTATGATATCTGTTTAATATGTCTAATATATGCACTATACACATAATAATCTCTTTACATTATTCTCTTTATATATATTATAAAATAGTATTTAAAATCAGTTGTCAGCCACATGTGGTCTATATGATGCAACATGTTTGCAATTGTTGGCATGTCATTTAAAAATATGTAACTAATTTTGCTTTTCAATATTACCATTAATATGACTTTTAAAATAATAAAATTTTTTATTTGTTTCAAAAAATACTGTTTTATTACTTACAATATAGTATGTTATTACAAGATACTTCTGGCTTTTTCTCTGTTTCAAACCAGTTTAGTTATATCTTTTGTTCACAAATTTTATTAGACGCTATACACATAGTTTCATAGGTTTAAACTGATAAATAGCACTTTATTGTTTTTGTTCATTTTAGATTAGTATAGCAAAAAATTATTAAGATAAAGTTTTATCAAACATAAATAGTTTCTCAATTATGTCAAGTAACTTAAGAGCTGAAAATAGAAGAAATCGCTGAAATGAAAAAAATGAGGCCAGACGAGAAGAAATTAATCGTTGCCAAAATGAGAGAAATGAGGCCAGACGAGAAGCAATTAATCGTCGCCAAAATGAAAGAAATAAGGCTAGGCGAGAAGAAATTAATCGTCGCCAAAATGAAAGGAATGAGGCTAGACGTGAAGAAGTTAATCGTCGCCAAAATGAAAGGAATGAGGCTAGACGTAAAGAAGTTAATCGTCGCCAAAATGAAAGGAACGAGGCTAGACGTGAAGAAGTTAATCGTTGCCAAAATGAAAGAAATGAGGCTCGACGAGTATTATTTAGGCGTGGAATGCATTGCATAGCAAGAAATAATGTTTTTATAGAGAGTAATAACCTAGGAGAAATGAACCATAATTGTCAGTATTGTGGTGCTAAAATTTTTTTAAATGAAACACATTTTTTGTGCTGCCATTCAGGAAAGGTTGTCTTACCTCCACTTTCACCTTATCCACCGCTGATGGTTGATTTAATGACAGGCAACCATGTTGATCGTGCTTTGAATCAAAATTTTTTCAAGCATATACGAAATTATAATGCCTGTCTATCTTTTGCTTCATTCATAGCCACAATAGATCCTCCGTCAAATCGTGGTCCACCCTGTTTTAGAATTAGTGGGCAAATTATGCATCGTATTGGTAATCTAAGACATCAGCAAGGGGATCCACCTGCTTATTGTCAATTATATGTTTATGATCCTAATACTGCTTTAAACTTTCGAATGGAGCAAAATGATTGTTGCATACGTGAGTTAATGGAACTTTTGCAGACTATAATTAATCAGGAGAACCCATATGCGCTTGCATTTAAAAACATGGCAGAAGTTGAAGATGCAGAAATTCGTCAAGTTGCTATAGAAGGTCGACCGATTTCTGTTGTCAAAATGTCGTTGCTCGAGGGTTGTGATAGACGTCGATACAATCTTCCATCACATGAAGAGATTGCCATTGTGTTTGTAGGAAATGATGGTGCTCCACCTCCATCTAGAGAAGTTGTTATTTATCCTCGAGGCCAATCCTTAAAAACAATTTCAAGTATGTCTGCAAATCTAGATCCAATGATATATCCAATATTTTTTCCAAGAGGTGATGCAGGATGGCATGATCAACTAGAGCACAATCCTGACCGAGCAACACGTGTTCGAAATCGTGTTACTTTATCTCAGTACTACAACTATAGGCTTTCTATTAGACAAACGTTCAGTCCTACATTTTATGGTAAGAAACTTTTTTAACAGTATGCTGTTGATGCATATGTCAAGATTGAAGGACAGCGCCTTGCTTTTATCAGAAATAACCAAAACAAACTTAGAAGTGAACAATACGATACATTACATGAGTATGTAAATAATGTTGCAAATAACCTTAATGTAAGAGCGGGTCGTGTTGTTATACTACCATCCTCATATGTTGGAAGTCCAAGAGCTTTAAAAGAAAATTTTGAAGATGCAATGGCAATTATAAAGAAATATGGTAAACCAGATCTTTTTATTACTTTTACCTGTAATTCAAAATGGAGAGAAATTACAGAAAATTTAAATCCAGGTGAGAGCGCAACTGACAGGCCTGATTTAGTTTGTCGCGTATTTAAGATGAAACTTAAATGCTTCTTAGGTGATATTTTTAAACATGGAGTCTTAGACAAAGTTGTAAGTCATGTACAGGTTATTGAGTTTCAAAAACGTGGTTTGCCACATGTGCATATTTTATTACACTTTGTAAACGATGATAAGCTAGAAACAGCAGAGGATATTGATAGTTTAATATCAGCTGAAATTCCAAATCAAACTGTTGATCCTGAACTTTTTGAAATTGTAAAAACATGTATGATTCATGGACCATGTGGGATTTTAAATCCCAATTCTCCTTGCATGAAAGATGGAGTTTGCATAAAAAAATTTCCTAAAGAGTTTAATCCTTGCACTGTTGCAATTTTCAATGGTTATCCTAACTACAGGCGTTTAGATAATGGTAGAGTAGTCATTATAAAAGGTAACCAAGTTGATAATCGATGGGTCGTACCCTATAACCCCTGGTTATCAAAAAAATACCAAGCCCACATTAATGTTGAAGCTTGCATGTCTATTAAGTCAGTGAAGTATTTATATAAATATGTTTATAAGGGGCATGATTGTGCGAATGTGGTAATTAATGAAAGTGTTGACCATGATGAAATTAACACATATTTAGACTGTCGCTTTGTTTCCGCCCCAGAGGCTCTTTGGCGAATATATGAGTATTCCATAAGTGATATGTCACATACTATTATCCACCTTCAAATCCACCTTCCTGATAATCAGAGAGTATATTTTAACGAAGGAGAAGAACAAGTAGCTATCAATCGTGCAGCACAGCGTGACACTCACCTAACCGCTTGGTTTAAGTTAAATGCTGAAAATAATGAAGCACGTCAGTATTCTTATGTTGAAATTCCATATCACTTTGTTTTTGGTAAAAATTGCATGTGGAAAGTAAGACAACGAGGTAGTGATAAGGTGGTTGTTCGAATGTATAAAGTCAGTTCATTTTGCGAATTATTTTTTCTCAGGTTGTTACTTTTGCATGTAAAAGGTGCAAAGTCTTTTGAGGATTTGCGTACTGTTCATGGTACTGTTTTTGATACATTTCGTGAAGCATGTTATCATTTAGGTTTATTGCAGGATGACATTGAGTGGAGAAATACATTAACTGAAGCTGCTGCAACTCGGATGCCTAAACAAATTAGGCTACTGTTTTGCATCATATTAACTTTATGTGAACCTGATGATCCTTTACACCTTTGGAATACATTTAAAAATTATATGGTTGAGGATTATATACACCATTCAATGCCAGTCGTACTTGCTGAGCAGGCAGCTCTTCGTCAAATTGAATCTATAATTAATCAGAGTGGTAAAACCTTAGCTGATTATAATTTGCCAGCTTTAGATCAGTTTTTAGATAATGTCCCAGAAAATGATGATGAAGATGTTCAGGTGTTTATTGATGAAGCAAACCGAGTTAGACCATTATTGAATGATAATCAACGTAATGTAGCTGATGCGATCCTTGCTGCACTAAGTGTGGAACCTACTAATGAAAAAAAGCATTCAAGGTTGTTTTTTATGGATGGGCCTGCCGGTTGTGGTAAAACATGTACTTATAACTATTTAATTTCTGAAACACAGAGCAGGCATATTAGAACTGCAACAGCTGCATGGACAGGAATAGCTGCAACTCTTCTCAAAAATGGGTGCACAATGCATGGCTTATTCAAACTTCCTGTTCCAATTTTGGAAACTAGCACATGTAATGTAACTCCAAACTCTATTCATAGTAGATTCCTGAGACAAATCAGTTTGTATTTACTTGATGAAGCATCTATGATACCCAAATATGCTTTGAGTGCCATTGATAAGCTATTACAAGATATTTGTAATAACAACTTTCCTTTTGGTGGTAAGGTTATTCTTATGGGTGGAGACTTCAGACAAATACTTCCAGTTGTGAAGCGAGGTCGACCAGCAGAAGTTATAGAATCATGTTTAAAATGTTCTGAACATTGGCAATATGTGCAAAGGTTCTCATTAACTGTAAACATGAGGGTTCAGATAGAAGAAGAGGAATTTTCTCAATGGCTTTTAAAGCTTGGAAGTGGAACATTACCTGTCAAGCCTGAAGATCCTTTACGAGGGTGTATTGAAATACCTGAGCAGTGCTTTCTCAGTGATAATGAATCTATTGTGGAGAAGATTTTCGGTGGTGCAGAAGAAGCTGATTATGCAAAACGTGCTATTTTAACGCCAACAAATGTTGATTCATTGGCAATAAATGAAGAAGTCCTTCATTGCTTACCCGGTGATGTGAAAACATATTTAAGTTCAGATAGCATTGATACTGATGATCTTAATAAAATTAATAACTTTCCAGACGAGTTTTTAAATAGTTTGACTCCATCAGGTATGCCTGTTCATTGCCTAAAATTAAAAATTGGTGCTGTTATAATGCTACTTAGAAATTTAGATCTCAAAGGTGGACTTTGTAATGGAACCCGTTTGATGGTGCGTGCATTACACAACAATTATATTGATGGTGAGGTTTTAACAGGTGTATCAGCTGGTAACAGGGTATTTATTCCTCGAGTTCAATTAGCTCCATCAGATGCAAATTTACCTTTTACACTTAAACGCCGTCAGTTTCCAGTTAGGTTAGCATACTCAATGACCATAAATAAAAGTCAAGGTCAAACATTTGAAAAAGTTGGTGTTTATCTCAAAAAACCTTGCTTTTCACACGGCCAATTATATGTTGCATGTTCAAGAACAAGATCATTTAATAGTTTGTTTTTCAAAGTTGATAAACATCCATTACAAGGTATGTCATTTAACAAACATTACACAAATAATGTTGTCTTTACAAATGTTCTTAATTTATAATTTTGACAAGTATATTATGTGTTATATGTGTTTTATATTTTTTGTATGTTTTTTTTTTTTTTTTTGCTATATGTGTATATAAATGTATGTGTTTATATGCGTTTATATATCTTTATTTATATTTATGTGCTTAAGTTTATACAAGTTTATATTAAGTTGTTTCCATGTGAAAAGTGGTGTTACTTGGCAACGTGTAGTGCAAGATTGTGATTCTTGCTAGCCAAGCGGTGTTACTAATTAGTGGTGTTACTTGGCACTAAATGCCAAGCGGTGTTACTAAATTGTGGTGTTACTTAGCAGCGTTTAGTGCCATGCGGTGTTACAAGTGTTGAGCTAGGTTGTGTTGTCTAGCTTTTTTAATTATTCTGGAAACACATAATCTGAATATTTTGTGTTATGTGCAAATGTGTTATGTACAAATATTTGATGCTATGTGTATTCAGTAGCATAGGCAGGGTCTTTTGATGCTTCAGATAGCACTTTCAACCAAACTTAAGTGTATTCACGTTTATAGAATTAAAATACTTTGCAAAAAATTGATGTTTTTAAAGCTTAGGAACAAATGTTTAAAAAAAGTGTTTTTCCTAACCTGAATTTTTTTAGACATAACAAAGTTAAACTCTTCAACAGCTTCTAAATATATATCTGAAACAACAAAAATCCTGCCTACACTACTGGTGTTATTGTTTGTCATCCTGTAATGTTGTTGTGATGTTTTGTGTTGATAGACAGCTTGGCTTACCTTCACGTTGGTGTCTATCGTTAAAAATGATTATTGGGTAGCTTCATTACTGAAACTTACTCCTAATCATTCACTAAAAGCCAAGAAATATTTTAAGAAAAAATGCCGCTTCAACATTTTTTTAAAAATATAAAATGAAAACAAAATAAATACCATAAGTAAGAGCTAAATAATAACGTTTAAAAATTACCAAACTTTTTGTTATATTATTATTAGTTTTTCAACTTTTAAACCACAAAATTTATAATTTATTTTTTTGCATGACTTTTGACGCTTTAAGCGACTAACGTTTTAAAGAACTGCATTACCGTTTCCGTCTAATACAAAGGTAACTATAAAAGACCGTTATTATTCAAAGCTAAGCATATAATAATAATAATAAATATAGTAAATAGTAACTATTGAAAATGGCTAGGACGCGACCATAAACCATGGTCCATGGCTGGTCTAAATGTAGGAAGTAGTTTAGTTCAGAATTTTCTAAAAAAAAAATAAATAAACCGGGTTTAATAAGCTATATACGTATGCGGAAAAAGTGCGTATGTTGAAGTTTTTTTTTGCTCTCAAAGCAAATTTTTTTGATGAATTTTTTTCCACCGTTTACTAAAAAATATTAAAGTAAATAAGGAACAAGTAAAGAAATGATTGGCGTGGAATAAATAAATATAGAAGTAGAAGAAAAGACCTGTATTTACCGATACGGACAGCTAGATTAAGAAAATAAGGGAAAAGGTTTGTGTGGAATAAAATTACAAAGACCCGTATTTTTACGGGTCAATCCAGCTAGTATATATATATATATATATATATATATATATATATATATATATATATATATATATATATATATATATATATATATATATATATATATATATATATTGACAGAGTGAAGGCCTTTTAAAATTGTTTTGGTAGGCGGGTGACAAGACCGATAGGTGTTCATGGGGCACCGAAATAACAAAAACCAAAAAAAACAAAAAAATTTATAATAAAATAAATTTTAATGTAAGGCAAATTGTCAAGTTATTTAAGAAAAATGCTACTTGTTTCTTTTTTTTAATGTTTAGTAATGTTTTTCCATTTCTTTCAAAAATTTCAAAAATAATAGATGTTTAAAAAACAGAAAATGAGCATGTGCTAAGTTAACGCTATTTTCTGCTAGACGTCGTGGCAAACCTTATAAAATAATTTAAAGGCATTGGAATGATGCCTATCAAATTGAATGGATAAGAAAGCATGATTTATGCGAGCTAAATGAAAAAGAACAAGTTATGACAGAAACTATAAAAAATGCGTATAATACAGGAAAAGGTCCAGCGATTTAGTAACATTATTAAGACTACTTGATTCATTAAAAGCAATTATTTGCTGATAAACAAGTTAGATATTCTGTAGAAGTAAGTTGTTTAAATAACTTTTTGTTTCTAATTGGAAAAGAATTTGACGGAAATGTTTCCGGTAAACATATGCTTCATCAAATTTGCTACAGCTTACTATTAAAATTAATATTTAAAAATTAAAATTAAAAAATGATAAAAAAATATAAATAATAATATGAAATATATCACAATAGATCTGTGTGTGAGTTATTTAATAGTTTGAGACAAAGTAGAGTGTTATAGTTGTTAATCTTGGACAAGGAAGAGGTGATAATAATTTAAGTGAGGATTGAGACGATACTTATATGTTATGCTGCCTCGCGAAAAAATATGCACAACGTCGGTGATACGTAGAAGCACACGAAAAAAGGAGGGCCCCTGCACGCTTTAGTCTATGAGACAAAATGGTCATTGTGACCAAGAGGAGGTGTAAAATGTAATTATATTTTATGATTGAAATTTGCTATTATTATTGATAGGGAGTAAATTTCAAAGCACAATTTGATATAGCCTATTCAATAGGCTATTGTAACAATTGTTTGAAATTTTCTTCCAAAAGGAGTTAGAGTGTGCATTTAAAAAAAGGGCATCAAGAATTCGACAAAATGATAAATCCAGTTTTTGTTGGCTTTGTTACATTACCGAAAAACGTTAAGTTGTACATGAATTTTAAGAATGACATTTTGGCACACTTTCATACTGATCATATTTCAGATATTTGTATGAATGATGAAATGATTCTTAGCAATGGGTCCTGGCTGTATAGGGATAAAAAACACAATAAAGACAAGCTTGTTGTTTCGATAAAGACAGTCAGCTCCTTTATATGATTATTTTTTGCCAACAAGAGATTGTTTCAAAGTTAAACAATATTTTTTCGGACATGTTTTTGCAAATAAATTTCACGCATTTAAATATTTAATTGACGCTTTACAAGTAAAAAATTTAACGGCATAAAAGCAGGTGTTAAAAAAAACTTTATTTATAGAAGGATCAAGAAAGCGAGGCCTTAAAAGTAGATAAATTTTACTTTGTTTTCAATTTAAGTAAAGGCAGCATTTTTGGTAATGCGTCATATGCATTAACAAATAATAAGCAAATAAAATTACGTAAACCAGATAATCATCAAAGACGTTAAAATGGTTTAAGCTTATATTATCTCAAAAATTGTCGATCTCACAAAAAAACTCATTCATTCCTTCAGTTCGAAGGATTACATCACGTTGAGAGATATCATTTGTGCCAGATTGACAATATTAAATGCTAGAAGAGGTAATAATATTATTGATAATAATATTAGGGTGTATTTAATTATCCTTATTATTATCAATTTAACTATTACTTTGACTATTATTATTTACTTTTAATTTTTGAAGTTGTTCCTTTTCTTAATACCTGAGGTTTTTTATAAATATGTATAAATTTAAAATCGTAAACATCATTATTTCATATTGCTTAGTTTTAAACTGATGACTCTTCGTTCTTGGTAATATGTAAAAATGTTTGAAGTTTGCTTTAACGTGGCAAGGTGGTGAACCAGCAAGGCTTCAACTGTATCAATATTTTAAGCTCTAAACGACAAACATATTGACCAACAACATTTCAAGAAGCTGAGCGAAAATGACAAAATAATAAAAAGTGCACTTAAGGAACCTTTATGGCGGGGAAGAAGTAAAGGATGTTTTTTTTTTCACCCGACACGTTTCCTGACTTAATAACCATTGCTGATCAAAGTATAATGAATTCTGTCGGGATTTTAAAAGAAAACATTTTTTTCTTTGCATGCACAAGGAGTTCGGAAGGGCATACTTATGATTGGAAGGCAATTAATGACGTTGCCTCTAAATTTCCTTTAAAAAACCCAGTAAATTTTAAAGCAACAAACAATAGACATTTAGTGAGTGATTATATTCAACAACTCAAACTGAGTGAAAAGGTTAAAGACTCTTTTTACAAACACATGGGCCACTCTAAAAACACAAATGAAAATACTTATCAATTGCAACCAGGCATTGCGTCTATCCTTAACACTGGGTTAAAGCTTCTGAATAAAGATTTAGGTAATTTTAGATTTGTTTATCAAATTAAAATTAATATTATATAAATTCATTATCATTATTAATTTGCTTTTTGATTATACTGAAAGTGCATGTTCTATTGATATAAATAGAAATGAAAAGGATAGGTTATCTTATGTATTGCGTTTTTAATTATTAAATCATGTTATATAAATCGTAGTTTTGATACATAGATTTTATTATTCAAAACATTTTGTTTTAGATTATAAAGGACCAAGTTGCTCTAAATTAAACATAAATCAAAATAATAAAGAACCAAGTTGTTTTAAATTAAACATAAATCAAGATAATGAAGATCCAAGTTGTTCTAAATTAAATATATATCTAGATAAAAAAAAATTAAGTATTTTATCATAAATGTATTTTGTGAAAAAAAGGAAATGTAACTTAATAATTAATATAATATTTTAATGTTTTTCTTTGTTTTAATTTAAATGGAAACTAAAATAACACTGTGCATTCTTGTAATAAATAATTTGCTTCGTTTGACTTTTATTCATTTAATATAATTAATAAAAATTTATAACAAGTTAAATACAATACAAATATGTTTTTTTTAGAAACAATGTCGAATATGTAATTTGATAACAAACTTTGATACATAGTTACAGTGCCGGAATTACTTTTGGTTTTTATGGAACAAAGCGTTATACGTGGGGTCTTACGTATAATGAGGCCCCACGTATTATAGTAGAAAATGTCTATATTTTTTTTTGGAATAGCAATATTATTCAGATGCTGAGAAAAGTTTTGTTTTAATGTTTTGAAGAATTTATGAGAAAGGGAGCTGAGTAGGCAGGAAAAGAATTATTTACTAGATCGTTCGAAAATACAAAATGAACTGATTATGATCATATATCTTTTTTTATAGAAAGCATGCTTGAAAGAGAAAGCATTTTCCGCGATATCGTCTATTGCCCCCCTTTCCTTTCTTATCTCAAGTTCAGAGGTCAGTTTACAATTTGACCGAGTACTGTAAAAAATTTATTTTGAAAAAAATGTTGTTGGTGTTATTGGTTTAAGAGGTTATTGGTTCATATGGTTTTTTATTGTGCTTGCAAATGGTTTCAAAAATTTTGGAAAAATTAGGAACCTGGATATCCAAGCCGCTAATATCCTAATAAGTAAGCAGTTAATTGTACTTTTTCATTTTTTTTTTTCATTTTTTTTTTTCAATATTAAATAACCATAAGTGCATATATATATATATATATATATATATATATATATATATATATATATATATATATATATATATATATATATATATATATATATATATATATATATATATATATATATATATATATATATATATATATATATATATATATATATATATATATATATATATATATATATATATATATATATATATATATATATATATATATATATATATATATATATATATATATATATATAACATATAAAAGTCGCTCTATGAATGTGTCTAAAATCTTTTAATAGTTTGTATTATCATAATTGTACTTGTAACTATTTTGATTCAAGGAAAAATGTTAATGGTTGGATTACGATTTGATCCAAACACTATATCAGGGTAATACGGTAGATGTGTTAGTTAGACGATCGAAAGTTTAACGCAACTAAACATAACAGCAATAATGATGGCGTATATGTTGATAATAGTGGTTCATTGTCATCATAATAAATATTATTTGTTTTGTATACTATTTTTCGTTTAGAACGAGAGAAAGAAGATAAATTTTAGTTATTTTGTATAAATTTTTTGTTTAGAACGAAAGTTAGAATTTATTTTTCAGCAAACAAATGATTTTAGTTTTAAAGTTATTAGTAAAGTTTATTTTATGAAATTATTTTCGATATGTTTTGTAATTTAATAACGGTGATTATAATGGCGTGTATAATTATAATGGCATCTTATTGGCATCATAATATATTTTATTTATTTTTAATACTAGTTTTTTTAAAAAACAAAATAGCTTCTTTTACAATCTCAGCTAATCAATCCATTTCAACTTTTTCGACAATTAATTCAGGTTCAAAGTTCAGTTTACAATTTTACCTGGTTTATACATCTTATAATTTAAACATGAAATATTATTATTATTTTTTATATTGTAAATTTAGAAAAACTCTTTAAAAAAAAGGTTTTGTGTTTTTTGTTGCAAAATAAAAACTTGTCTTTCAAGTCATGTTTGCAGAGTCCAAAAAAAAAAATATAAGAAGATAAAGATATCCTCCAGCTAAGTAAATGTGAATGAAAAAAAGCTTTATCTCTGTTAAAAAGAAAAGGGATATATAAGTATAACATCCAGCAAGTTGAAGAAGGATCAACAGTTTCAGATAGCGAGCGAGTTTCAAAGGACAATTTGATATAGCCTATTGTAACAATTGATTGAAATTTGTTTCCAAAAGAAATTTGCGACCACACAAAATAACTCCTTTATTATTCAATCAAATCGGAGGATTACATTACGTTGAGAGATATCAATTGTGCCAGATTGACAGTAGTAAATGCCAGACGAGGTATTAATATTATTGATAATTATATTAGGGCTTATTTAATCATTAATATTATTTGGTTACAGCTGTTGTAGTCTCCTTATACACAAACATCCATTACGATGATGCAATAAAAATCGTGACTAATATTATTTACAATAATTGAAAATTTCTTAAACTAGAAAGATATTTGTTAATATATTTATCTTAGAGATATTATAGAGTTAATATATTTATCGTAGTTACAACGAAATGTATTAAAAGTAAAAATTTTTTAGAGGAAAGTGTTGTTGGTGTTATTGATCGAGAGTTTTATAAATTAAATGTTATAGTTACAAATGAATTTAAAAATATAAGAAAAAATAGATTTAAAAAATCGGGTGGAAAAAAATACATTTTTTTCCACCCGACACGCTTACTGCTATAAATATCCTTTCTAATTCAATTATAAGAGAGTGTGTAAGCATTCCAAAAGATAATATATATTTTTTTGCAAATAAAGAAGTTCTGATGGGCACACTTCTTGTTTGAAGGCAATTCATGACGTTGCTTCTAAACTACCCTTGATAAAACAATTTTAAAGCAACAAATAATAGGCATTTGGTGAGTACATATATTTTTGAATTAGAAGACTTAAGTAAACGGGATAGAGAACTATTTTACAAACACATGGGTCACTCTAAAGAGACAAACGAAAATACGTACCAATGTCAATCTGGTGTTTCAGCAGTTTTAAATGTTGGTGTAAAACTTCTCAAAATGGATTTAGGTAAGTTTATTTAACATTTGTTTGGTTTACCGTAGTTCAGTAATACCTATTTTAAACCTTAAACTTTTAATAATAGTTTGCATAATGATAAAATGTTTTTATATTATGTCTAAAGGTGTGTCGCAAAACAATGAACAAAGTGCATTTTCTACAAATAACGATTTGTTTGCTTAACTTGAAGTTTAAGACTATTCTATTTTATTATTAAGTTATTTGTTTTAATTAAAATAATTTTAATCCTTATAATATTTTATAAATAAACTAATGAATAAAAAAAATAACAAATTTTAAACTATATAGTTTTTATTTTTATTTTTCTTATTTCAACGTTAAAAACATTAATTCAAATAAAAATCATTTTTAGAAAAACGAGCATGTTATGCTAGGTCAAATAATGATGGAAAGCTCATTTTTGAAAAGTTTCAAAAATACTTTATTGAAAACAAAATGCCAAGTATGTTCTGTTTTCTCTTAATAACATTTTAAATGTAAATAACTTATGCTTATTTATTTTTATTTTTTTTTTAAAGTAAAGAAGAAATGCTTGATTTTATCGATGAACCTTAATGTTCTTTATAAAACTGCACGGACAAATATTACAAACGAAAGAATTAAATTTCAACGGAACACACAAAATGTTGCTAATGAACTTAAAATCACAATTACACAAAAATAACACGAGTAGCCCATGTGTTTCCCTTTAATATTTTTGTTTAAATTTTCAGTTTTAAGTTAATACATTTAGCCGTTATAGTTATGGTATAGTAATACTGTATTACTTTAACTATACAGTTTAATTATAATTATATAATTTTATTATAATTATCAATAATAATTTTATTAAAAAAACATTTGGAGTGGAAAAAATATTTGCAAAAACATACCTTAAAACCCCTTAAAAACATACCTTAAAACCCCCGTTTTGATAAAGACGGAGGTTTTTTAATGAAAAAGACGACATTATTTTTTTCTCTTCAGTTTTAAATTAAAACAAATATTGTATTTAAAATATTTATTAGATGAGCATTTAGCAATTCTTTGTTTTTTTAATTTTTTTTTGTGATATATAATTATTTTGAAATATAATAAAAATTATTTTGAAAATATATTTTGTATATTATAATAACGTTTACATTTATTTCTTAGCAAACCAATGCTTTTAGTTTTAAAGGTGTGAATAAAATTTTTTTAAGTAATTGTTTTTGTAACTTAATGGCGGCGATGAGAATGGCGTATTTAATGATAATGATGGTTCATTGTCATTATAATAATTTTTAAAAATTTTGAATACTACATTTCGTATTTATATATATATATATATATATATATATATATATATATATATATATATATATATATATATATATATATATATATATATATATATATATATATATATATATATATATATATATACATATATATATATATGTATATATATATGTATATATATATATATATATATATATATATATATATATATATATACATATATATATATATATATACATATATATATATATGTATATATATATATATATATATATATATATATATATATATATATATATATATATATATATATATATATATATATGTATATATATATGTATATATATATATATACATATATATATATATATATATATATATATATATATATATATATATATATATATATACTTTTATATTTTAATACAAAGTATTGCATAATTAAACAAGTGCTTAGTAGGTAAACTAGAGCTATATAGTATATATGTTACTGTTACCCGCAGTACCAGGAATTAGCTATATGCTAATATTTATAATATTATATACTTTATTATTGAAACTCAGTGTTTCATGTGTTACCACTCTCTACAGTAGCAAAAATTAATTTTGCTACGGTTTGTTTTGTTGACGTTACGGTATTTATTTGTATTTTAAGTCGTTTCGGAACGGAAATAGCGAAGTAGTTGGGTTAACGTTTTTATTAATTTGTTTTTTGTTAGCTAATAGTTGAGAAATCTTTAATATTTTAATGGTTGTTTAAAAACATTCTAAATATATTAAAACGTGTGTTATTTCTATTAGAAAAAAAAATAGTTTAAAAATGATATAAAAATATATATAGTATAATGAAATATACTGCAATAGATGTTTGTGTGGGAGTAATATATTATTTAGCCTAAAGATAAACAAAGTATAGTAATATTAAAGTAATCTTTTTAATAAGAGTTTTAACCCTAACGTCACATAAATATACTTTTGGTTTTTTTATTTTAAAGGCGATGACAGGGTAGTGTCTTTTTATGTATGTGATGTTTTTGTGAAGCATTATGTTGACACTTATTGTTAATTTTAGGGATTATTATAAAATACATTGAATCCTTTTGTTTGTTTTGCTATAAAACTCATAACATCAATTTTGTCAATAAAATTGACAATCAAGCAGCTGTGCTGGAGTGTCCCCCAATTAACGATATGGCAAAGTGTATTAGGGCAATTATCAAAAAAAAAAGCGTGAAACAACTACAAACCAAAATAAAGCTTTTTCTTAGAAAAATGAACCTTAATTTTGTGTTTTCACTTTTTAGGCAAACTCGTTTTTGGGTTTTTTGGTTCCTAAAAACAGACTGGTTGAAGATAAAACTTAATTAAAATAAATAACTAAAAACTTTAATGATATTTTTATTTAATCTCTACCTTAAAAGCTATGGGAGTGATGGATCTTTAAAGTATGTACGGAATTTCAGTAACTACCCGTTACCTTATTTATTTGAGGATTTGGTTTCAAAAATGACCAATCGTTTCAGTGCTTAAGTTTTGAAGAGCTGACATATTTAATTTCAGAATTTACTTTTCATATGGTTGCCAAAAGGAAAGAAATTTCTTGTGCTATCATCAATTATTGAGTAAGATTATACATAATTATCTAAATTGTTCCTAATTATTTGTTAATTTCTTATGCTGTTGTTTTATGAAACCGTAAAGCCAGAACACCATTGTACAAAGATACATAAAGAATATAACAGCTGTTGTAAATGCAAATGTTTATAGATATACAAAGAAAATCTATTATCTAATAATTAATCTTGCCTTTTTAAAAAAACAACAATGCAATTATGAAAATCAGATAATAAAAACTAAAGCCCGATTTATGAGTATTATAACTATTACTCTTGTTTACTAATAATTAAATTAAAATTTACTATTAACTAATATTTTAAGTTTAAGAAAACAGATGCATCATGTACATAAACTAAAGATATGAGCTGAAGCGCAACTGAATACAACGACTAATTATAGTCGTACGCGCTGAAAAGTGTACATACTTAATTTTGTCTCCCTTTTATATATTTTTTTTTGTACTTAAGATTTACCTGCTTTAAAACTCTTTGAGAAAACTCTGCTTCGTCATCATTCTATGCATAATATATTTTAGTTTTAAATTGTTTCCATAGTTCCTCCTGTTTTTCCTCCCCATCTTTTTCTTTCAACTTGAAACTAAATTTGTATGTATATTTGGTATATTATTAAAACATTTTGATTTCCATTTAAGGTATTGAATAATACTTCATTTTAAAATTGTAGGTATTATTTCCACTTAATTTATTATTTTGAACTCGAAATAAAATTGTATGTATAGAGGAAAGCGGGGCAACATGGCGAACGTTTAGAAAGCTCTGAGTTATTGAAAAACTATAAGTCGTGAAGCCATAATACTTTCTCAGTATGTTTATTCTATTAAGTTCTTTCATTGCCTGCATGAATTTTCAGTTTGTAAATGTAACAATTTGAAATAAATATTAAAATAAAAAGTTTATAAATTTGTCACGTGGTCACGTGACCGGGGCAAGATGATTTATTATGCAATTTTTACCTCCAATTTTGTAACAAAAAATAAACACAAATTGCAAAAACTACTTCTAAAGAAGTTAAACTTGAAAGACACCAACCATTATGAGAAACCGAAAGTGAATTTTTTTTTAAGCGCAAAAAGTAAACTTATTTGTATAAAATGGCGTTAATAATATTTCAAAAAAATTTGGTGTTTTAAAATACAAGATGCAAATACAGAATAAACAAAATTGGATCTGCAGAGATAAATACAAAAATGGCTTTTTTGTTTACAAAAAAGATATTTGAAAATGATAAAAAAATGTTATTATTACGATGAAATGTATTTCAATAGATGGGCGTGTGTAGCTAATACATTAGTTAGCCTAGAGACATTTGTTTAAATCAAATTTGCGGCACTTTGATTTTTTTCGGTTCGTTCATTTAGCAGTTCATAAGGTTTTAAATACGATATAATAGCAAATATAATATATATATTGACAAGGCCTTTTAAAATTGTTTTGGTAGGCGGGTGACAAGACCGATAGGTGTTCATGGGGCACCGAAATAACAAAAACCAAAAAAACCAAAAAAATTTATAATAAAATAAATTTTAATGTAAGGCAAATTGTCAAGTTACTTAAGAAAAATGCTACTTGTTTCTTTTTTTTAATGTTTAGTAATGTTTTTCCATTTCTTTCAAAAATTTCAAAAATAATAGATGTTTAAAAAACAATTTTGAGAAATTGAGCATGTGCTAAGTTAACGCTATTTTCTGCTAGACGTCCTGGCAAACCTTATAAAATACTTTAAAGGCATTGGAATGATGCCTATCAAATTAAATGGATAAGAAAGCATGATTTATGCGAGCTAAATGAAAAAGAACAATGACAGAAACTATAAAAAATGCGTATAAGTCAGGAAAAGGTCCAGCGATTTAGTAACATTATTAAGACTACTTGATTCATTAAAAGCAATTAATTGCTGATAAACAAGTTAGATATTCAGTAGAAGTAAGTTGTTTAAATAAACTTTTGTTTCTAAGTGGAAAAGAATTTGACGGACATGTTTCCGGTAAACATATGCTTCATCAAATTTGCTACAGCTTACCATTAAAATTAATATTTAAAAATTAAAATTAAAAAATGATAAAAAAATATAAATAATATTATGAAATATATCACAACAGATCTGTTTTTAGTTATTTAATAGTTCGAGAAAGTAGAGTGTTTTAGTTGTTAATCTTGGACAAGGAAAAGGTGATAATGATTTAAGTGAGGATTAAGATGATGAGTTATATATTGTGCTGAAATTTTGTCGCCAAATGTATTACAAAATTTTTATTGTGTGAAACCTAAAAACAAATATAATTTTCGAATTAATAACAGTCTTATTGCCCCTTTTTGTCGTACAAGCAAAGACCAGTTTTTTGTTTCTTACTGAGGTCCTTATCTCTGAAACAAAATAGTCTTACCAAATTTTGATTTTTCAACCCAAATGACTTTTGCTTCATTCAAACAGAAACTTAATTATAAATAATATATTTAAAAATAATTCAATTAAAAATATCTTGATTTATTTTTAATTGAAAATATCTTGATTTATTTTTAATTGCCTTTTTTTTTGTTTTTTTTTTTTTTTGTTGTTTTATTTTGTATATTATTTGGTTTAAAATTTTATCTTGCCTTTTTAACATTTTATCTTGGTTTTTAAATATTTTTGCATAGAGGTGTATTATTATTTCACTACAGACATTGTATTTTTATTAAAAGTTAACCATATATTGTAAAGGGTTTCATGACAATATCCTCATGATCTTCTAGAAGTCCTGTCGTTACTAATGTAAAAAATTGTAAATTATATTTAGTTATTGTAATATTAAACGGCAAAACAAAAAAAACAAAAAAACAAAATGAAAATAGTACATAAAACATAAAAATTGTAAATAATATAAAGTCATAGTTGTAAATCTTAAGAGAAGTGATTGTATATATGACTGAATACGACTGTATTTTGCGTCATAGTTGTAAATACCAAGAGAATATGATTGTATAAAAATTCTGTTGATGTATAAATTCTGTATGATTGTATAAAAATTCTTGTTGCATTAGGACATATAAGGCGTCTAACGCTAAACTTATAAAGTCAATTTTGATGTGAAACAACGTTGTAAGTATAATTCAATCTAATATTTTAAGAAAGATTTGTATGTATATTTGGTATATTATAATAAAGTTTGAATTAATTTTTTAGCAAGCAAATGATTTTAGTTTTAAAGTTATAGTACAATTTATTTTGTGAAATTATTTTCGATATATTTTGTAATTTAATAACGGCGATTATAATGGCGTATATGATGATAATGGTGGCTTATTGTCATCATAATAAATTTTATTTATTTTTAATACTATTTTTTTTTTATACAAAAAAGCATATCAGCTAATCAATCCATTTCCACTTTTTCGACCATTAGTTCAAGTTCAAAGGTCAGTTTACAATTTTATCTGGTTTTTACATCTTACAGTTTAAACATGTAATATTATTACTATTTTTTATGTTGCATATTTAGAAAAACTCTTCAAAAAAAAGGTTTTGTGTTTTTTGTCACAAAATAAAAACTTGTCTTTCAAGACATATCTGCAGAGTCCAAAAAAAAATCCAAGAAGTTAAAGATATCCTTTAGCTAAGTAAATGTAAAAGAAAAAAAGCTTTATCTCTGTTAAAAAGAAAAGGGATATATAAATATAACATTCAGCAAGTTGAAGAAGGATCAACAGTTTATAATAGGGAGCGAGTTTCAAAAGACAATTTGATATAGCCTATTGTAACAATTGTTTGAAATTTTCTACCAAAAGGAGTTAGAGTGTGCATTTAAAAAAAAGTCATCAAGAATTCGACAAAATGATAAATCCAGTTTCTGTTGGCTTTCTTACATTACCAAAAAACGTTAAGTTGTACAAGAATTTTAAGAATGACATTTTGGCACACTTTCATACTGATCATATTTCAGATATTTGTATGAATGATGAAATGTTTCTTAGCATTGGGTCCTGGCTGTAAATGGATAAAAAACACAATAAAGACAAGCTTGTTGTTTCAAAAAGTTCTGTTAGAAATTCTATAAGACAGTTAGCTCATTTATATTTTTTTTTTTTCCAACAAGAGATTGTTTCAAAGTTAAACAACCTTAGAAGTAGATAAATTTTACTTTGTTTTCAATTTAAGTAAAGGCAGCATTTTTGTTAATTTTTGGCGTCATATGCATTAACAAAAAATAAACAAATAATATTATGTAAACCAGATAATCATCACAGACGTTAAAATGGTTACAGCTTATATTATCTCAAAAATTGGCAATCTCACAAAAAAACTCCTTCATTCAATCAAATCTGAGGATTACATCACGTTGAGAGATATCATTTGTGCTAGATTGACAATAGTAAATGGAAGACGAGGTATTCATATTATTGATAAACATATTAGGGCTTATTTAATTATCATTATTATTATCAATTTAACTATTACTTTAACTATTATTATTTATTTTTAATTTTTGAAATTATTCCTTTTCTTGATGTCTGAGTTTTTTTATAGATATGCAAAAATTTAACATCCTAAATGTCATCATTTCATATTTTTAGTTTTAAACTGATGACTCAGATTTTGGTAATATGTAAAAAAGTTTGAATTTTACTTCAAGGTGGTAAGGTGGTGAACCAGCAAGGCTTTAACTGTATAAATATTTTAAGCTATCAACGATAAACATTTTGACCAACAATATTTCAAGAAGCTAAGCGAAATTGACAAATTGATAAATGCTTTTAAGGTCACCTGGCGGTGAAGGGGTAAATGATGTTTCTGTTTTTTTTCCACCCGATACTCTTCCTGTCTTAAAAATCCTTGCTGATCAAGGTATAAGAATCCTGTCAGAATTTTAAAAGAAAACATTTTATTCTTTGCATGCACAAGGAGTTCAGAAGGGCATACTTATGATTAGAAGGCAATTAATGATGTTGCCTCTAAATTGCCTTTAAATAAACCAGCAAATTTTAAAGCAACAAACAATAGACATTTAGTGAGTGATTATATTCAGCACCTCAAACTGAGTGAAAAGGTTAAAGACTCTTTTTACAAACATATGGGCCACTCTAAAAACACAAATGAAAATACTTATCAATTGCAACCAGGCATTGCGTCTATCCTAAACAATGGGTTAAAGCTTTTGAAAATAGATTTAGGTAATTTTAGATTTGTTTATCAAATTAAAATTAATGTTAAATAAGTTCATTATCATTTAGTAACTTTCTTTTTTATTTGATTGAATGTGCATGTTCTATTGATATAAATAGAAACGAAGAAGGTAGGTTATCTTATGTATTGTGTTTTTAATTATTAAAATCATATTATATAAATTGTAGTTTTGATTTAGATTATGGAGGACCAAGTTGTTCAAAGTTAAACATAAATCAAGATAATGAAGATCCAAGTTGTTCTAAATTAAATATATATCCAGATAAAAAAAGAAAAAGTACGTAATTTATCATTAATGTATTTTTTAAAAAAAAGGAATTGTAGTTTAATAGTTAATATAACATTTTAATGTTTTTCTTTGTTTTAATTTAAATAAAAAATAAAATAACACTGTGCATAAATGTTATAAAACAATTTGTTATCGTTTGATTTTTATTTATTTAATATAACTAATTTTTTTTTATGTAATGAAGGTCCAAGTTGCTCTGAAATAGATGCCAATCTTAATAAAAAAGATGTTATATATTTTATCAGTAATATATTTTAAGCAATTCTTCTTTTTCATAACAAACAATAATTATTACTATTTAGAGAATGTAATAAAAAGAAAAAAAAAAGAAATATATTTACTGTAACTGAATTTTTACCAGGTATATTTTATATTATTATTTTATATTACTTTTTATTAGAAAATTTTATTAGATCGATTTTCTAATTTTCAATTAAGCTTGATAATTGTTTGAGTAAAAATGTTTATTTATATATAAATAATAAAAAAAAAAGAGCTTTCTTTGCCAGATATTCATGGAGTATTTTTTTCTAAGTCTAACAAAGTTAAAATAATTATTTAATTTAAAATTTAAAAACAAAAAAAAAATAATTTTGTCCAATATTAAAGCTATTCTGCCCCACTGTGGAAAGTCGACAGGAAAAATCTCCTTTATGTGAAATGAGCTAGAAAACAACTAGTGACAACTTGAGACTTGATTTTTAGTTACGCTTCATTTTGACAAATTTACGAAAAGTCAAAAATGGTACAGGTTTTCCAAATATAAATGGAAAGAATATAATTCAATCACTAATAATAACACATAAGTAAAACATCACCATTTTAGAAACGGTGGTTTACATATATTGAAACTACTTTGCATTCAAAAATTACCATTTTTTACCAAGGTTTGTTCTAAATTGAAAAAAAAAATCAGCCTGGGCAGGATGAAAGTAAATTTGATACTTGTTACCATTTGCACTTATTTGCAAATTATTCCTCTATTAACATTTTTTAATGTCAAAGTTTTCTTTAATGCTATTTCTCCTTTAACATTTTTTTGTATTAAAAATTTGACGTAGATCATTTAAAGTTAATTAACCTTTAAAACATGGCTCTGCTCCTAAAGTTTTAGAAAAAGATGTATTTTTATACTTTTTCTAATGGTTTTTTATTGTTTTTTACAGGCTTTGAAATGGTTTGATTGTCACAAAATTTATTACAGAAAATGTTTATAAGATTTAGAACCTTAAAATCATACACTGGAAATGTTATATATATAAAAAAAAAAAAACATTTTCGCTATAATATTCTTCTTCTTTTAGCCTGCAGATAAAAAGTTATTTGTTTTTATAGGTTTTTGGTATAAAAAACTTAACTTTTGCCGAGTTAATCCTGTCAGTGTTATAATAATGTAAAATTTTGGAAAAATTAAGAAGCTAGTAATCCAGGCCACAAATATTCTAATAAGTAAGCATTTAATTGTGCTTCTTGTTTGTTTTTTTTATTTTGTTTTTTTAATTTTAAGTAGCCATGAGTGCATATGTATTACATATACAAGTTGATCTATAAGTGTGTCTAAAATATTTTAATAGTTTTTAATATCATATTTGTATTTGTAACATAGAATATTGCTTTACCCTTTTAAGATTTAGTGTCGATGATTTAAGTTTTGGTGTCGACGAAGAGTGTGAATGCTTAGATTATCATTTAATCTAAACACTATATCAGGGTGATATAGTAGATGTTTTAGTTAGATGATCGAAATTGTATTATTTTGGCGTAATGAAAAATAAATTAAAGTAAAACATTAGATTTAGTTAATGATTTTATTACAAAATAGCTTGATTAAATAATTTATTTTTGCAAAATCTATAAAATTATTCGATTTTGCAAAAACAAAAATAAAAAAAGATTGGTTAAATTTAGTCGTTAAGCATTTAACATATGTTGCTTGTCTTTTTTCATCTTAATTAATTCATTATATCATGGAACTAAAAATTATTAAGTCTAATGGATTAAGCAAGCAAGTGTAGAAAAATAAATTATGGTGTATTGAGATAAAAATAATTTATTTTGAAAATAATGTTGTTGGTGTTGTTGGTTCTAGAGGTTATTGGTTTTAATGATTTTTATCGTCCTATGGCATGGTTTAAACAATTTTAGAAGAATTAAGAAGCTGGATATCCAAGCCGCTAATATTCTAATAAGTAATATATTTAATTGTGCTTCTAGATTTTTTTTGTTTTTTTCTTTTTTCAATGTTAAGTAACCACAAGCATATATATATATATATATATATATATATATATATATATATATATATATATATATATATATATATATATATATATATATATATATATATATATATATATATTACTTATAAAAGTCTGTCTATGAGTGTGTCTAAAATATTTTAATAGTTTTTATTATCATAATTGTATTTGTAACATGTAATATATATATATATATATATATATATATATATATATATATATATATATATATATATATATATATATATATATATATATATATATATATATATATATATATATATATATATTACTTTACAGTTTTGAGTCGACGAAAAATGTGAATGGTTGGATTACGAATTGATCCAAACACTATATCAGGGTGATACAGTAGATGTGTTAGTTAGACGATCGAAAGTTTAACGTAACTAAACATAACGTTAATGATAATGGCGTATATGTTGATAATAGTGGTTCATTGTCATAATCAATATTATTTATTTTGTATACTATTTTTCGTTTAGAACAAAAGAAAAAAGATAAATTTTATTTATTTTGTATAAATTTTTCGTTTAGAACGAGAGTTTGAATTTATTTTTCATCAAACAAATGATTTTAGTTTTAATGTTATTAGTACAATTTATTTTATTAAATTATTTTCGATATGTGTTGTAATTTAATAACGGCAATTATAATGGCGTGTATAATTATAACAGCATTTTATTGTCATCATAATAAATTTTATTTATTTTTAATACTATTTTTTTAAAAAAACATGAAAGCATCTTCTACAATCTCAGCTAATCAATCCATTTCCACTTTTTCGACAATTAATTCAGGTTCAAAGATCAGTTTACAATTTTACCTGGTTTATACATCTTATAAATTAACATGAAATATTATTACTATTTTTTATTTTATAAATTTAGAAAACTTCATTAAAAAAAAGTTTTTTTGTTTTTTGTCGCAAAATAAAAACTTATCTTTCAAGACATATCTGCAGAGTCCAAAAAAAAAAGCCAAGAAGTTAAAGATATCCTACAGCTAAGTAAATGTGAAAGAAAAAAAGCTTTATCTCTGTTAAAAAGAAAAGGGATATATAAGTATAACATCCAGCAAGTTGAAGAAGAATCAACAGTTTCAGATAGCGAGCGAATTTCAAAAGACAATTTGATATAGTCTATTGTAATAATTGTTTCAAATTTGTTTCGAAAAGAAATTTGCGATCTCACATAAAAACTCCTTCATTATTAAATCAAATCGGAGGATTACATTACGTTGATAGATTTCAATTGTGCCAGATTAACAATAGTAAATGCTAGACGAGGTATTAATATTATCGATAAATATATTAGGGTTTATTTAATCATCATTATTATATGGTTACAGCTGATGTAGTCTCCTACACAAACATCTCTTGAGATGATGGTATAAAATCCGTGACTAATATCATTAAAAATAATTGAAAATTTCTTTAATTAGAAAGATATGTGTTAATATATTTTTCTTAGAAGGGGCGTAGCTACAACGAAATGTATTAAAAGTAAAAATTATTTAGAGGAAAGGGTTGTTGGTGTTATTAATTGAGAGTTTTATAAATTGAATGTTATGGTTACAAATGAATTCAAAAATATAAGAGAAAGGTAGATTGGTTGATAGCCAACGCGTTATTATTTTTTTAGAGGAGCATTTAGTAATTCTCTGTTTTTTAATTATTTTTTGTGATATATAATTATTTTGAAATATAATAATATATTTCAAATATATTTCGTATATTATAATAACGTTACATCTCCTCCTTAGCAAGCCAATGCTTTTAGTTTTAATGGTGTGAATACAATTTATACTATGCAATTGTTTTTGTAACTTAATGGCGGCGATAAAAGTGGCGTATTTAATGATAATGGTGGTTCATTGTCTTCATAAAAAATTTTAAAAGTTTTGAATACTCTATTTCGTTTAAAACAAGGAAGCATCCTCCATAATCTCGTCTATTCCCCTACTATTGTCATTTAATTCATGTTCATAGTTCAGTTTACAATTTGACCAAACACTATTCTTGTAATGTTTGAATAAAAATGTTATTCAACTATCTCTATATAATGTTGCGGAGTTAATTCTTTAAGAGTTATAATAATGTAAATATACTAAAAATTTAAGTTGCCAACAAGTGTAATTACCTGATACTAAAAAAGTTTTTTTTTATTGAATAGGAAAATAACATTCACATAGAAAACCAGCAAAGGTGATTATTATTATCAGGATATATATATATATATATATATATATATATATATATATATATATATATATATATATATATATATATATATATATATATATATATATATATATATATATATATATAATACTATTACATTATCATTCGTAGTATTGCATATTTAAACAAGTGCTTAGTAGGTAAACTAGAGCTATATAGTATATATGTTACTGTTACCCGCAGTACCAGGAATTAGCTATATGCTAATATTTATAATATAATATACTTTATTAATGAAACTCAGTGTTTCATGTGTTATCGCATTCTACAGTAGTAAAAAATAATTTTGCTACGATTTGTTTCGTTGACGTTACGGTTTTTATTTGTATTTTAAATCGTTTCGGAACGGAAATAGCGAAGTAGTTGGGTTAACGTTTTTATTAATTTGTTTTTTGTTAGCTAACAGTTGTGAAATCGTTAATATTTTAATGGTTGTTTAAAAACATCCTAAACATATTAAAACGTGTGTTATTTCTATCAGAAAAAAAAATAGTTATAAAATGATATAAAAATGTATATAGTATAATGAAATATACTGCAATAGATGTATGTGTATGAGTAAAGTATTAGTTAGCCTAAAGATAAATAAAGTATAGTAATATTAAAGTTTTTTGTTGTTAATTAGGTTTGTATAGTGTTTTAATATTTTTAATAACAATTTATATTTCTGACGTCACATAAATATACTTTTGGTTTTTTTATTTTAAAGGCGATGACAGGTTTGAGTCTTTTTGTGTTGCATTATGTTGACAATTGTCGTTGTTTTTAAGGATTATTGTAAAATACATTGAATCCTTATGTTTGTGTTTTATTACATATAATTAACTGCATGTTTTATTAAAAAGAAACTTACGTGACTTTAAACAGATTTTTCTACATAAAAATTAAGTTATTTTAAAAACCGAATGTATATACATACGTGTTTGATTGTCACAAAATTTATTACAGAAAATGTTTATAAGGTTTAGAACCTTAAAATCATACACTGGAAATGTTATATATAAAAAAAAAAAAAACATTTTCGCTATAATATTCTTCTTCTTTTAGCCTGCAGATAAAAAGTTATTTGTTTTTATAGGTTTTTAGTATAAAAAACTTAACTTTTGCCGAGTTAATCCTGTCAGTGTTATAATAATGTAAAAATAGTTATTAATTAATTTTGTGAACAAGTGTTAATAGCTTAGACTAAATTAGATTTTCTTTAATAAATAAAAAGAAAAATTAATTCATTGTAATTTATAAAGCTGCATAAATAAAAAGTACTAAATAGGTAAACTAGATCTATTTAGTATTTATGTTACTGTTATCCGCAGTAACGGGAATCAGATAAAAAGATGAAATGAAACGGCTGCTCAAATTTCTAATCACAAATGTGAACTTTTTAGCCGCGAATGCCTACAAATTCCAAAAAGCCCTCGACAAAAATCAAGAAGATCTGCTCGGCAAACCAAAGGAAGCCACTAACAAAAATTGCTGTAATAACCGCAAAAACAAACCACACATCTTATGCATATGAGGGTTTATGCATCTATGCATAAAACATCTTTTTTGAATCATACGGTATTGCAACGCATTTTCTAAAACGGCTCTTATAATTACGGTCTTGCGCAAAAATATTTTTTTAAAATAAAATATTTTAAAAGATTAGATCTTACTAATTGGTATTGTAGAAAAAAAAATTATAAAATACAAAGCGGCATGGTAATAATTAGTAACGTCAATAGACAATATATTAACAAAAACAGTTCTTGATGTTACTTTAAAAGCAGGTAATTTAAAAATAGATATATCGGATAATTTTCCGATTTTCTTTTATTTGTCACACGATACAAAAACTAAAAACGACTGTAAAATTGAAATTTCGTAAAAGAAAAATTAACAAATATGCTATTCAACAATTTAAAGAATCACTATCGGCAATAAACTGGGATAAAGTATACCAAGAATGTAACCTTGGACGCACCAACTCTTCTTACACTAATTTTAAAAACATTTTCTTAAAAAACTATAACAAATATTTCCCAATAAAAGTAATGCTAGTAAAAGAAAAACATCTAAAATGTCCAAGGAATAAAAAAATCTCCAAAAAAAAACAATAAAACTTTATATCAAATACTTAAAAAATAGAAATGAAGCAAACCTAAATGCTTTTAAACAATATAAAAACTTGTTTGAAAAAGTTAAAAAGATTTCAAAAAAGAATTATTACTCAAATAAAATAAAAAACTCCAAAGGTGATATTAAAAAAACGTGGGACGTAATTAAAGAAATAATTGGGAACAAATATTGCAAACCAAATAGTTTATCTACTAAAGTTGTTATAAATAATGAAGAGTATGTCAGTAGTGACGTAATCTCAGAAAAGTTTAACAATTTTTTTGTTAACATAGGCCCTAACCTGGCTACAAAAATTAATTGTCCAAACAACTCATTTGAGACATACTAAACTAATACCAATGACAAATTAGCATTTAGCGAACTAAAAATTGAAGATCTTGAAGTTGCGATAAAATCTCTTAAAAGAAATAAATCTCCAGGTATAGATGATATTTGTAGCAATATCGTTATCGATGTCTTTTTGGAGATACGCAAACCGACCTTCGAAATATTTAAATCATCAATTAAAACAGGTACTGTACCAGATAAATTGAAAACAGCTAAAATTATACCAATATTTAAAACAGGCGAAACATCTTTATTAAATAATTACAGACCAATCTCTGTACTGCTTACTTTCTCTAAAATACTTGAAAGAATAGTTTACAATAGATTATACGAATATCTCCTTCAAAATAACCTCTTAAACAAAAAACAATTCGGGTTTCAAACAAAACACTCCACCGAACATGCCATTTTAGATCTTGTATTTTTTCGGGTTTCAAACAAAACACTCCACCGAACATGCCATTTTAGATCTTGTATATATATATATATATATATATATATATATATATATATATATATATATATATATATATATATATATATATATATATATATATATATATATATATATATATATATATATATATATATATATATATATATATATATATATATATATATATATATATATATATATATATATATATATATATATATATATATAT